GTGTCCGAAAGTGATGGTTTTCCGATGCGAGTGTCCGTTCGAGCCTTATTTTGGTCTTTCGGACTTCGGGCGGAATTTTGATGCGGTGTTTCATCTCCGATTTTTTTTGTTTTGTGTGTCTCTCCATCTCGCGTGTTTGCATGTTTGTGTATTTTAGGTGTTTTCTTTCTTTCTTTGTGTGTTGGTTATCTGGCTTTTTTTTTGTTTTTGTTTTTTGTCCTCGAGTCATATCTATCCCCATTTCTCTACTTTCTCTCTCTCTCTCTCTCATTATTTATCTATGTGTATTTATGTATACATTCATGTTTGGATAAACGTATGGATGGATGCACGTATACATGCTATCTTGCAATCAAATCTCACCCGCAAACCGACTTAGGAAAGAAATATCTTGAAAAGTTCTTTCAAAAACAGAAGACGTATTATTGTCTTGCTGTTCGGTTCAAAGGACATCTGAAATAGGAACTTTTTTCATTTTTTTTTTAGCCTTTGAAGACACAATGGAAGAAAATGATATAATAGTGGAATACATTTGTTTTGGTTAAATTCCAGGTTATTTTTTTTTACATATAGAATGCCATTGGACTGTAATTTTCAAGTAACTTTTTTTTCTCTCTTTGATTGACAAACTCAACACTGGAGGTTTTGAACAATGTTGGAATAGCAAGAGTTTGTTTGTTTGTTTGTTTTTTTTCCCTCCATTCCTTTGAATTATTTCCGTCCAGTTTATTTTCCGAAGCTGTTGGGATGTACAGTTCACCACAGTTCCAGCTGGGACACTCCTATGGTTCGAAGATTGCCTTTTTTTCTGGCAATACATGCATGATATCCAGCACTTGGTGAATGGAATGCTCTTGTTTGTAACGAAGCCTATGATTGACTCGTGATATTTTCATTGACAACTAATAGCAGCCATGAAAATAATGTTAAAAAGTTTGGAAACATTACATTGTTTTGCCCAGTGCCTATATTATTGTTTTGCTAGAAATACGCGGTGTTTTCCTTCAAAAAAACAAAAGAGGAATGGCAACTTTGGCACTATCGCGGTGGACAAATATCAATGACGTTTAATCCTAAATAATTTTTTGACAAAAAAAAAAATGCGTTTTGTAAAGAGATATACAAGTTTTCGCAAAAATTATAAACGTAATACATATTATTTTGAGAAGATAAAATATGAATTATCTGTAATGAATCAAGTAATGATCTTAATCGTAATTACGCGGTTTACTTAAGGAATTTGTGAATGATAAATTATCCAGCTGCTTAATAGGTTGTTTATATTGACTCGTAAGAGGGTCACATGGAATGATCCTTCAATTCTTTTCAAGATTTACAGAGTACATTAGGTCAGAAATTTGTGATAGGTCATTGGAGATAGCATTTAATACAGACTGTTCATTCAGCGTATCCAAGGCCGATGTTCATGTTTAAAATAATGTTACACTTAAAAAAACAATCATGTATCTATTACTTTCTATATTCTGAACGATAAAGTCGAGCCAATTTCGTCCCTGATTTCTTCTCTTAACGTATATATTTGTGATGATTGGCGAGTTAACAATGCTGTTTGTGGTTTGATCTATGTATCGATGAATGCTCTCTCTCTCTCTCTCTCTCTCTCTCTCTCTCTCTCTCTCTCTCTCTCTCTCTCTCTCTCTCTCTCTCTCTCTCTCTCTCTCGTGCGAAATATATAGAGAAAAGGAACCAAGTAAGTGTCCTTGAACCACGTAAGTGTCCTTAAACAATCAACTATGGTTTAAAAGACTAATTTAGTATTTAAGAAGAAAGGGAGAACATTGTGGCAACTCAAAACTCCTCGAAACTGAATTTTAGTAGAAACAAGTGGAGTCTTTTCCGTCTTACGAAATATGCAATTAGTGTCATGCCTTAGAAGTTTAAACATATATACCTATATCTATTTCGATTGGCTATTTGTAGTACATTTTTCAGTCATAAGAAATGCAGGATATTGAGCAATGGAAACCTTGCAAGTGCCGACCTGAGGTTTGTAAGGCAGAGGAAACCTCGAAATGAACAGTAAATTAGCAATGAAATAACGAAATAAATACAATTTATATATAAACAATATATATTCATATATGTATTTATTTTCACATTAAATAAAAATCAGTTTGAGCTTCCGCAAGTTCTATTGTCGACGTTTGTATTCTAAGTATTCTATAATTATAAACACAGTATTAAGTCCTCAAAATAAAAACACTGTTTCACTGTAGTTGGCAGTGTCGGATCTATAATTTTTTTCTCCAGACACACCTGTTGTAGTTAAAAGTCAATCGTTGTTCTTCAGTTTTGTAATGTGAGTAGTAATAACATTCTGGCGTAATTTCCTCTGTCGGATTTCTCTCCTGTTGTAGACATTTATAAAATTATTTCAACCAGTAAGTCATCGTTCAATACCTCACGGAATACTACATAATACACAAATATTGCCAGATAATAATTGCCACCTCCAGACTCGTATTTTGTTCATATTCCCCAAATAAACCATGATGGAAGTAAAAATATAAAAACTTGTTAGATATTTTTTAGATGGTAAAAGATAATCAAAACTAGACGAAACACATGTTCATCGAAACGCACACTACCAAATATCTGGTTCATTAGTCTCGTTCCTGGAGTATTGTTCTAAGATGGTCATATGACAACACCAATCATGGGAAGGGCTAACAAGATGCCCCGCCCACAACACAGAGAGTAGCGCTCAGATTCTCATCGACCACAAGTAATGGAAAGGATAGTTTTTTTTTTCCAACTACAACAATTGTTCAGTTGGGTCGTGAGTTTTTTTTTCTTTTTCTTTTTTCTTTATAAACCCTTTATCTTCATCATAGACTTATTCTTAGTTAATCGTCAATGGACTCATTGAGTCTTTGCTGGAAAAGAAATGCTCTCTTTGGACCAAGATTTTTCTCTTAGCCATCAAACATGTCGAAGGATAAAGCCAATTGGCCTCACTCCCAGGGTTACGCGCACATCTAATTGTATATATCTCATTGCCGCCGGGGAAAATGGATAAAATATGGGGAAAATGCTTTGCTTATTTATTTATTTATTTATTTTTTTTTTTTTGTGAAATGTCTCTCCACATTTCACCTTTCCTTGAATTGGCGGGAAAATGTACTTTTCTCTAGTGCTATGAATACCGATGGTATTATTTTTATTATAAACATTATAATTACTATAATGTTATAAACATTAGTTATAGCAAAATTAGATAACGAAAAATATTTTCGTAAATTAAAGAAAAGGGTAAACGGGCGAAACAGGCAGTATTCGTAACTGGCTCATTGGTGATTTAGTACAAGTGTCGCCATCTATGTGTAGAAACAATTAAACAAGTAAACTCACAATGGGCATGGCATGTGCATACATGTCATGCCCGTCATGTTACATACTCAGTTGCATACTTTTAAGCAGTAACACAGTTGCTAGTTAATTAGCCAGTGGCTTAAAGAGAGTATAGTTGTCTATATTTTGGGTCTATTATCAAATTATCAGATACAGTATTGCATGCTGATGTTTTCTGCAAAACCAATTAACTCTAAAACTACAAGAAATACCATGTTAACCCAAATTAAGTATGTAATCTATATTTCAATATATTCTTTTGAAAACAAAAGCTTATCAAAATGTGCTATTTATAACAGATTCCTTCAAGATAATATTATATCGCAGTGATATTTTGACGGTTCCATGCCAATAAATTCTTTATTTTTCGATGAAGGATGAATAGAAAAAAACATATTTGGCAAATACTGATATCTTTATTTAGAACCTATTATAAGGGCATGTGCAAAAAAAGAGCTCTTCAGAATATTAGCTGGCAGATATAGGCAATTTTCTTAGTACAATAATCCAGTTTCATATGGCTACAACCTACGCCTGTACAACGACCATTGTTCTATAGAAATTTGGCTTTTGTCTCGCTACATGGTGTCAGAATGATGGAAATGCATTCTAACACTAATTCGTTATGTTTAACTTGAAGCCAGATTTAAAAAGGAAAGAAAAAAATGAAATAAGAAAAAAAGAACAGCTGTGTGATAACTGTCAAATCTATTTCCTTCTTAAAACTTAGTAAACCGAACCTCTACCATCGCATCGTTATTAATTGCATTTGCCTTTTGACAACATTCTAAAGAGAGAGAAAACGGAGGGAAAGTCAACCAGCAAAAGCCCTTTCCTAAATCGACTAATTGGCACTATCAACATGACACGGTGCAAATAACACCATGTAGATCACTAGTTCTAGAAAAGTAAGAAAAATTCAATGAAAATCGTCCCATGAGCGACTCGACAATGCTAGAAAAGTAAGAAATTAGTTTCGTCAAAATATACAAACAAGCGGATTGAAAAGGAAAAAATTACATTAGCCTCCCCTTCGAAAAAAACACACGCAAAATAAGGCTTTGTAATCGTTAAAAAATACTGAACAAGAGAAATTTCT